ACCAATTGAGACAAAATTTCAAGATTTATTTATTTTAATTTTTGCTATAATCTTGAGTTCTGAACAATTACTTCAAGGCTTTTCATGAAAAACAGGCTACTAGCTTCGTTTGTTTGAGAGTAAAATATTTTAATTTTTTTTTTTTTGAATGTTTGGCTGTCGTAAAATAATTACGAAGAAAAAATATTAAAATCTAAGAAAAATAACTTATTCATCAATTTTGGACAAGCTATTTTATACGTCCCACCTGAAAGACTCGACCTTGACCTTCCCCGAATACCAATATATATATATATATATATTACCTGAGAACAAAAAATATTTTTAAAAAAAGTATTTTACGTCGAAATAAATTACTAAATTCACAACTCTTAAACGAGTAGACATCATCCTACTTAAGGAGTAATAATTTTTTAAAAAAAATATAAATAAAACAACTAATTTGGATAAAATCTAAATTGGGATGTCAAGAAAAACAATTAAGCGAGTTATTTTTTTTTTATTTTTTTTTTTTGGAGACCCGAAAATGCCTGAAATAATTTTTTTAATAAATAATTAGAATAATAAAAATATATATAAAAAAAATATTCTCTCAATTCTTGCATCCCAATTAATGGTTCAAAGAATTCGCTTCCATTGTTCTTGTCCCATTGGTATTGATATTTTATTTACTATCGTGCCAAGCAGTGTTGGCTAGCCTCACTTGATGATCATAGATATGTTAGACTCACATATCTATCGGAATTGCGTATCATTGGGTGTTTTTTTACGAGAGGTTAAGTAACTGACATAAATGAATAGTGTGGGCCTTAGGCTTAGACAACCCAAGCAACGAAAATAGTTTTGAATGGGTGTACTTTTTCCGCGCCCGCACTCATTTTCAAACTCTCGCCCAATCTTCATTCAAAACCGTCTAAACGGGAAGCATTTCTACCCTATCTCTACTCTAACTTTTTCACCATGCGGGCCCACCCTGTTTAGTTTTAGACTTTTCCCTCATTTTTTAATTTTTTTCCTCAAAGATAATTTTATAACTATTGAAAAAATTGAAAAAAATTTCCTCAGCTCAATTTTGAACGGAATGAATATATAGTCGTACGGTTGAAAAAGTGAGTGAATGTGAACTAAAATTTTTAGGACTAACTATTTGTACTAATAAAATAAAAATAATTTAGTAATTTACCAACCTAAATGGGCGCGGGATGGGGCAACCTTCCTCGCCCCTGCCCTTGCCCCCCGTCCCAAACTCGCGTGAGTTTTCATTAATAAAAATCATTCCCACCTAAATAAGTTAAATAGTCCTCCAAAATTAATATAAACAGGACGTGAGGTGGGTAGCCGTCCTCGCGGAGCAAATTGCCATCCCCATCCATTATTTGGGACAAAAGAAGCTCAAAAAAAGGTAAACAAGGGACAAGTCCATTACAAATAACAAAACAGGTAACCGCAATTAACGGCTTGATTAATTGGTGGTTAAGTGTGAAACTTTTCGGTGATGATCAAAACTAGGTACAATTATTTCTCCTTATTTATTTGTTTATTATTATTATTTTGATACAATAAGTATAGTATGATCTATTGATCTCTCATTTCCAAAACAAGAGGTTGAGTGCTGACTTTAGCTAACGGTAAATATTACAAGCGTATATGCTTTTTGAGTGAACTTTTAGGGAGAAAAAAATAAAAAAAAAGGTGGTTATTCGACACATTTATCTCTATATATATTTTTAATTTTTCTTTTTATTTTTGGTCGGCAGATTCCTTTTTAAAATTGAACAGTCAATTTTCTCCCCAACCTTTTTCACGTACAAAGCTAATAGATGCTTCCATTTAACTTTACCTCATGGAGAATTAAATTCCCTAACCTTTCTTTTCTGCTTTACTTTATTATTATTATTATTATTATTTATATTTTCATTACAATAATATTTACAGCTTTTCTTCTCATACTCTTGCTATGAAAACCCTAAAATGGTCCTTCTCCTTTGTCTCGAATCTCATTTAGCTCCTTCAATCCTACCATAGTGATATTGGAAAAAATAAAAATAAGAAATAACCTACTCTAACCACATATGCTTAATTGTTTAAAAAATTTCCACCATAAATACCAATGGCAAATAATGGTTTCAATTTTTATTTATTTATTTACAACGATGAAAAAGAAAAAAGAAAAAAAAAAAAAAGAAGTGACAAATTAAAAGAAAGTGTCAACAAGAAGTTCAACCCTAAAAGTATAGATGCCTCTCAATCTTTACATGACAAATATTTGTCCATTAACAACATGTCACTGCTTCTAGGGTAGTAGTATCACTAGTAAATATAAAAAGCAAATTTTCTTCAAACAATGCTGAAAAATAAAAATGTAATACTTGAAGTTCCAAAAGAAGAGAAGCATCTGACACTCCAATTCTAAATTTTAAAATCAAAGAAATTGCATAGGATTTACTTAAGAGGACTAAATATCATTTTCTTTTTAAGAAAACCACCTTCCAAAAGCTTGTCAAATTGCATGAATGAGAAATGGATGATAGGGTTGAGTGCCAAAAAAAAAAAAAAAACCTCGATATATAGGATGTGTACAAAAATAGTCCCTACTTTTTGAAAATGTGCATTTCAGTCCATAAATTTCAAAAAAAGTGCAAATAAGTCTCTCTGACCACTTTTTGATCAAAATTGACATAAAATAAATTCAAAAACCCTATTTTGCCCTTGGGTTAAGTGGTATAAAACCCCCCTCTACTATCGATATAGTGCAAAACAGTCCCTGTGTGGTATAAAACCCCTGATATTATCAATTTGGTTCAATTACCTCCCTGTTTGCATAAAAAGACATTAATACCCTCTCTAATATAAATGAAATAATATTAAAAAAATTATGCAATGTAAAAAATTCATGTTAAACAAAAATAGAATATAACCACTACTAATGTTCATCTAATTAGACCGAGCCTAATAATTTAAAAAATTTCGATTAATTTAAGACCACTAACTTTTATTTTTGAATTTTTTTTTCACATAAATTTTATACTAATAGTTACAAATTCAATATTATCCAATTAAGATCATTAACCTTAAAATAAATATATTTAAGATATTCAATAAGTAATGACAAAACTGTAAAAAATTAATTACTAATGAATTCTGGACTAAATTAAAGTTATATTAAAAAATAAAACTTTATTCTTCTTGATTATTACAGTAAAGTGGAATTTTCTTTTACTCACTGTAAAGTAAAACTAACTGATAATTTTCCAACAAATAATGCACTTGCTTTATACAGTAATTATGATAAATTTCAAAAATGATCACCTTCCAAAAACTTGTCAAATTGCATGAATGAGAAATGAATAATAGGGTTAAGTGCAAAAAACACCCCTGATATATAGAGTTTGTATAAAAATAGTTCTTACTATTTGAAAATGTGTATTTTAGTCCATAAAATGCAAAAAAAGTGCAAATAAGTCCATCTGACCACTTTTTAATCAAAATTGATATAAAATAAATTCAAAAACTCTATTTTGCCCTTGGGTTAAGTGCAAAAAAAACCCTCTATCGATATAGTGCAAAACAGTTTCTATGTGGTATAAAGCCCCCCTATACTATCAATTTGGTGCAATTACCCCCTGTTTGCATAAAAAGACATTAATACCCTCTCTAATATAAATGAAATAATATTAAAAAAATTAGGCAGTGTAAAAAATTCATGTTAAACAAATATAGAATATAATCACTACCAATTTTCATCTAAAGATGGAAAATATTTTTTAGACAAAAATGCCCGAGCCTAAAAATTTTAAAAATTTCGATTAATTTAAGACCATTGACTTTTATTTATGAATTTTTTTTTCACATCAATTTTATACTAATAGTTACAAATTCAATATTATCCAATTAAGATCATTAACCTTAAAAATAAATAAATTTAAGATATTCAATAAGTAATGACAAAACTGTAAAAAATTAATTACTAATGAATTCTGAACTAAATTAAAGATATATTAAAAAATAAAACTTTATTGCTCTTGATTATTACAATAAAGTGGATTTATTTTTTTTACCCACTGTAAAGTAAAACTAACTAATAATTTTCCAACAAATAATGCACTTGCTTTATACAGTAATTATAATAAATTTCAAGGATGATCACTCTTCAGGGGACCTAAAAGGGTGTTGTGGGTCTTACTTTCTTCAACTTGAGAAATTAAAGACACTTATCAGCCTGGTTTAATATGGATTCTTTTAAGAGGAAATTATGATATTGTGTGTGTGTGTATATATAGTATATGTTTTTTCAAATGAGGATAAAATGTCATGTCTTTTTTTTGACTAGAGGAACTTATTTGCAACATTTTTGAATTTTATAGACTGAAATGCAGGTTTTAAAAAAGTAGAGACTATTTTTGCACAAACCCTATATATCGAAATTTTTTTTTTGCACTTAACCCATAAATTTATATTATATAAGGTATTAATATCTTTTTATGCGAACATGGAAATAATTGCACCAAATTGATAATACAGAGGGATTTTATACTACACAAGAACTGTTTTGCACTATATCAATAGTAGAGATGGGTATTTTGCACTCAACCCTAGATAATAAGAAAAAAAATTCGCACAATTCTTTGAAACGTAGGGAGGGATAGGCTTTTTTAAGCGAGGCTAGTGTCTTCTGTGACTTCTTTGTATGCATTATAATTAAGAAAATAATGTATAATCGACAAAGACGTGGAACATATGCCGCTCTAATGTTCTTTTTCCTTACTGCAATAAAGAGTCATTTAATTATCAACACAAGAAATTAATTTTTGGTTTCATTTGCGACACTAACTCTCCCCCCTGTTATTAATCAGTTATCTTCTACAGCATCTATTAAAACGAAACAAAAAAAAAAAAAAAAAAAATTAAAAAATAAAAAAAAAAAAAAAAAAATCCACACTTTGAATGTTTATTGCTCTTAACTTTCTAAGGGAACAAAAAAACTCAGGATACTACTGGTCTGATAAAAAGTAATCAAAGATTGTATTGGTTTTCACTTTTGCTGCTTACAAATGTCAATCCAAAATACATATGTAACAGCTTTGCTACATCAAAAAATGAAGAAAAAAAAAAAACCCGAGAGTTTTCCTGAAATGTCTACAGAAAAATAAAAAATAAAAAAATATCTCATTTACAAAGATAGGCTACAAGGAACGAGACTGTCATCATATCCCGGTGTTGGGATTGTTTCCAGCAAGGATAAGAGAGATTTCCAAACCTCTACTGAACGCTTGGTTGAACATAAGTCGGGTTTGGAATGTGGATATGAATGGAAACCATGAACATAATGCAATGGGAACGAAGATGAGCATCCCCATCCCGGCATCATATAAACGGGCAATTGAACGAACAGATTTCCACAATCCCAGCCTCTTCATCAAAGGTTTCCAAGCCGCAGCAATCTGGAACATATTAGACAGCTTCATGGTCAAATAAGACAAACAAAAGGCAGGTATTTTTGTGCCAAATAAAACACAAACAAGTACAACCACTTGTCTTTTTGTTTTTGCCCGGGTAAATAGGTTCATGCAGTTCCTATTCTAATGGCATTCATTTATTTCCAAGAACAATACTATTCTCTTGAGATGCATTCCCAGCTTCCTCAAATAGAAAACCATTAGGTTTCGAAAAGGATATTGTCTTCTTTGCTATTTACTATTTCTCATTTCCTTTCAGTTTATTATTTTTTGAGCTCCCTTCCATATACAAATGACGAGAGGTCGTGGTGCAAAAATGCATGCGTTTGCACAACACTAGAAACTATTCAGAGTAGAAGATTCAAATATCCCAGATAGGGAGCAACCAGTCAAACCAAAAAACCAGGCAGTCTAGCAGCCACCACAGCCTAAATCTAATGATCCAGAGAAGTGGCAAAGGTAGTCATTTTAATGTCTTGTACCATAGCACCAAGGCATCAAATTTTATAGCTTCAAACTTACTCCTAGGCTTTAAAGCACGAGAGTATCACGGGAGCAACTATCTTAGAGACCTTTGGGCCACGAAGAAGCAACCTTGCGATCCAAAAAACATCAAAAGCAAAAACCCACATCAATCATTTGAGGGATTGAAAGTTCCATCCACTTCTGCACATCTAGTGAAAAGAATATGCAGTCGTACAGTCCAGATCCAGTACTGGCATTAAATTTGGGAAATGCTAGTGCTTACACAATTGAGGGCATGAGCTGTAGGTCAATAGGACTTTGTATCAACAAATTCCAACACAAAAATCCAGTGTCTATAAATTTTTTGGTTTTAGTTTGATTGTTTCAGATTGTCAGTTGAGTGAGTTAGGATTACAGGTCCTCATGATCTATGGACTTGTAAGATGAAAATAAAAAATTATGCACGGGGAAAAAGGTAAATTCAACTATTGAGTACCTAACTCACCAATTAGGGTTTTTATTTCGAGCAACTGCACCATTCATCATAATTAAGATGCAATAGATATATTTCAGAGTGAAATAAACATTTTTGAAGAAAAACCAAGTTTTTGAAAACAATAATAAGCTGCATTGATTGAAGGTTTTATAGACTCCCACGGTTTGAGTTTGATCGGTCCACCGAACCCTGCAACATTTAGCATACTATTTTGTTTCCAATTCCAAAAACCTAATTATTTTGAACAGAAATGCAACACAAACCCATGCAGGGTTCTCTATACATACGGGTGAAGTGCAAAAAACCCCACTGTAGTTTGAAAATGTTGCAAAACCACCCCCCCGAATCCCTGATGTTCAAATCACTCCCATGTAGTATATAAAGTGTGCATATAAGGGCTTTTTGTCAAAAAAATAATATCGGATAGGCGAAAAGACTAAAATGCCCATCACTTTACTGATAAAAAATACAATAAAAAATTCCTAAAAGAACAAACTAAAAACAACACTGCTTTAATTGTTTCATTTCAGAAACCCAAAGCCCATAAACTATACTGTTTCTATTGGCTGTTTGGGAAAGCTCACTGCTATTAAGATTGATAAGTGTACCTCAAATTCTTAACCCATAAATAGTGGCCGTTGTTAAGATTCTCCGGCGACCTCAAACCACTAAAAAAAAGGAGTCAGAACTCAAAGATGTCGGCAATGGCTCCACCAAAGATGACCAGTCCTCTCCTTAACCCCAACAACAACTCGACCTCGACCTCCCAACTCTCTTCCAAGAACTTGGAAGAGCTTCAGGAGAAGTTCGCCGCCTTTGTCCGCCGCAACGTGTACAGGCCAGATGGGATGCGGCGATTTGCCGTGGCCAGAGAAATCTTTGCTCGGAGTCGCGCTCCCTCGTGCCGATCAGAGTGGTGGTCGCTATCACTAAATTGGTGATATAATATTTGATTTGATTTGTCGTGTTTGTACTCTGTTTTCTGCTCTGAATCGAGAGGAGGGAAAGGTTGACCATGCGCACATGGGAGGGTGGAGGTAAGCCGTTATTGTTCAGTCTGGGAAGTTTCTTCCAATTTAGGTTTTATTGGATTGGAGAAACCCACCAAGATTCGGACACATACAGAAAATTGAATGCTTAGGTACTACTTTCTTTTGCTTGGTGCTCAAAATATGGGATATTAATTAAGCTAAAGTATATATCTAAAACTACGTTTGCCATAGAATTGCTTCTTAATTCAGAATTGGTGGCACTTGCGCAAGTCACTTTAAATTCGTGTAAATGAAGTTTATTGTGTAACCAGTGAGAATTTGATTGCCTTGGGACAGAAATAGTCCTTCAAAAAGATTAAATAGGTTTAAGAGGCATGAGAGGATTATAAGAGTCAGAGAAAGGTAGATATTCGTAAAATTTCCATGACAATGGAATAGAGTTTTCTTCTGCAGTTATTATTTATTATTTTTGCTAAACTTCTTGATTTAAGAGTTCATCCTTTCTACATAGCAACTGAAGTTAATTTAAATGAGAATTTAAGTGAACCATAGTTGTTTGGGTCCTAGGGAGGCATGTTGAGGATAAGCTGACTAATTTAAGGTTGGCCTGTGCTAGGTAAATTTGACATTTCTAGATTGGTTCAATTATGCATGGAAAATAATGTAAAGAAAAATCTTTTTCCAAACCAATCCACTGATGGTTTTCCTGTCAACCAGGATAATTATTATATTAAATTTAACTGAAACCACATCTTGGATTCCCAACATTGTCATAGAAATTTGAATATGAATGCGTCAAATATTTGGATAGTATATTGGAAGAAGTATAAGATGGATGGGCTCTAAGAGAGATGTTAGAGACACAGAGATGTTAGAGAGAGAGAAATGGGCTTAATATACAAGAATTGAGGGAGGGGCAAATTGGGATGACATGGGATAGTATTGGTATTAAAGAGTGTTTTGAGGTCACATGGCCCGCACATGGCCTCTCCAATGGCCTTTTTCATGTCAGAAGCCCTTATATGCACACTTTATATACTACAGGGGAGGTTTTTTGCACTTCACCCCTATAAATGCTTATATACATACAAATAGAGAACACACAAGCAATTAGAGAGCATATATTTTTATTTTCATCTATGCACACTACATTAGATGGTGAGTAATCATTCAGATAGGGATGGCAAATGGGTGGGTTTGAGCGGGTCAGTAACGGGTAACTAGCCTGATTTTGGCGCGCTTGTAATGGGTCATAAACGGGTTGGGTATTAAATGGACGAGTCAACCCACATTCAACCCGACGACACATTTTTATTGCTTGTGAACATTCGGTTCAGTTTATATCCAAACCAATAAAAAAAATTCGGGCCAACTCGAATCTGATTAGACAATTATGACCCAGCTTTATAAACCTCAAAACTATCTTGAACCATCAGAAAAGAAAAAAAAAAAAAAAATAACAGTTCTCCAAACTGATAGAATGAAAAAAATATTAAAAATGCTATCCAATTGATTGTTGGTTAGCTAATTGTTCAAGTTTAATTAACTTGAAATTAAATAACAGTCGTGATTTACCTATTGAGAGTTATTTTTAAACTTCATAGCGAAGGCTTTAAAAAATCCCTACGTGAACTACTTTGAATGTTCATCTGCTTCTTGTACGTACCAGGGAGTATTGATTATAGCTATTAGCAGATATGATAGCCACGATTTATGGAATGACTTACCGTATTAGCAGATATTTGATTATGCTATAGAATATGCCATCAAATATGATGTAATTTGATTTAATTTCCTTTCTTGTAATATTAGCATGTGCTTTTTTTATCTATAAATACTAGAACTGTGAATGAATGAGTATCTCATTCAAGCCTTTGCACAATTCTCTCATTTTTCTTCTTTTTATAATTCTACTTGGTATCAGAGCCAGGGTGGTTCGACTGCAATGAGGGCATTGTGAGTTCAGCACCACACATTCGGGAATGGTGGGAAGGCGAGCATACCGCTTGGAGATAGACTTTGGAAAGGAGTGGACGCAGTGGAGTAGTGCCGTACTGCGACAAGGGCGTCACAGAATTCAGGTGGGGGAGTGTCACGTTGTGATTCCTAATGACGCCAGGAGTATGGAAGACACACATGCTGGTTGGCAAATAGCAGAGATTGATTAGGAATGGTTCTAGGGAAGGGGCGTGCAAGACCACAAGATGGTACCTCTTCAGAGTGGCAAGTCCACTCGGTTCAGTTTGAGGAGCTTGTCGCTGGTCGTTGACTTGACTATGAAGAAGGAGTTGGTCATCCCCGCACAAACTGGTCGGAAGCTGGAGCCGTTCCCCTGAAGAGGCCATGGCAGGCCAAAACCAGTCAGCATGTATCCTTGGGAGGGCAGGTCGTGGTGGCTGACCAGGGCGCTTGCGTGAATAGAAGCAACGCCTTGGTGCTGCATGGGCCATGTCGCTGCGCCAAATCTTTGCATTCCTTATTGTCACCAAAATTTTAGCGCTACTGATTTTGGAAAGTAAACTTTGGATTATCCCGTCTGGTTTGGAAAGTTCATATTTGGGTTTGGAAAGGATATATTTTGTTTCCTTATAAACCCAATTTGACCAAACTCAAATTTAAAATGGTCAGATCCAGCCCATTTAAGGAAGTTGCAGATTGAGTTTTCAGGCCCAAGCTTAGCCCAGTTCAGAAGATCAGACCAAATTTCAGAGCCACAACAGAATAGTTCAGCCTGTTCAGTAGTAGACTCACACAAAAAAAAAAAAAAAAAAAAATACAGAATTCCTACTTCAGTTCGAGCAGCTATTTTGGGGTAATCTTCAACACTCGGAGCATTCAATTGGGATCTACATTCTACTTCGGAAAAGGTACATGTACTTCAACTAAAAAAAAAATTGTTATTAGTACTTTTATCCATTCGATTAGTTTAGAAATTGAAAAAGGTCCTAATTGAACCATTTAAATTTTGAACCCCTTTTAATTGCCTCAGTTGCACATTTAATAATAATAATAAAAAAAATCTTTTTATTGTT